GACGTCATAAGGATCTGAGTTCTTAAAAGCAGGAACTACAGAAGAGAAATTCCAATAAGCTGGTGAACAAGAAGCAGCAAGTCAATGATTGTAGAGTTTCGAGAGAACAGGTGCTATTTCAGAATCATATATCTTTAGGACTATTGCAAGAATATAAAGCTATATAGAAATTTGTGGAGAGCCATTATAGTGAATGTCATGAATAGACAGAGCACATGGAAGGAGAAAAAGAAGATGTAATTATTTATATGTGGTTGGTAGATTGTCTATTTTTTCGGTAGTTAGGACACATATTTTTTCTCATAAGAGAATGAGATCAGAGTTCTTATGTAACACATCTCGTGTGAATGACTAAAAATGGCTTGTTCGAGAAGTTAAACTAAGGTTTCTCATTTCCAAAGTGTGTAAAAAAAGTTATATAATTCATTGTAGTAAATACATTGACTGACCAAAAACTTTCATGTTATTATATGACATTAGGGTCAGTTGTGTAACATTTTGGTTGTATTACGATAACATTTTTTTAGAGTCGATTTAAAAAAAATTATTATAATAAAAAAAAATGTCGTATTTTTGTTTATTGTTTCTAATATTGAAAAAGAAAGATGGAACCAAAAATTTTAGCACTTATGCTTTCCTTCCGTTAATGCAATTTCCGTTAATCTATTTTCATATGAAACGATTTGTGCTATCTGCTAGCTAGCTAGCTAGATAGATAGATATAAATAGACTTTGCTAGATAGATAAATAGATAGATATGAATAGACTCTGCTATATATATATATATATATATATATATATATATATATATATATATATATATATATACATAGATAGATAGGTAGATATATATATAGATATATATAAATATATTCCGCTAGATAGATAGATAGATAGAATAAATAAACTCTCTCTCTCTCTCTCTCTCTCTCTCTCTCTATATATATATATATATATATATATATAGATAGATAGATAGATAGTTATATAGATAGATATATATGAATAGATTCTGCTAGATAGATAGATAGATAGATAGCTATGAATAGACACTGCTATCTATCTAGCAAGCTAGCTAGATATATATGAATAGACACTGCTAGGTATATAGATAGATAGATATGAATAGACACTGCTATATATATATATATATATATATATATATATATATATATATATATATATATATATAGATATATAGATATATATGAATAGATTCTGCTAGATAGATAGATATGAATAGACTCTGCTAGAGATAGATATGAATAAACTATGTTAGATAGATAGAGAGAGATGGATATGAATAGACTCTGCTAGATAGATAGATATTAATAGACTCTGCTAGATAAATAGATAGATAGATAGATAGATATGAATAGACTCTGCTAGTTAGCTAGCTAGATAGATAGATATGAATAGACTCTGCTATATATATATATATATATATATATATATATATATATATATATATGAATAGACCCTGCAAGATAGATAGATATGAGTAGACTCTGCTAGATAGATATATAGATATGAATAAGCTCTGCTCGATAGATAGATAGTTAGATAGATAGATAGATAGATAGATAGATAGATAGATAGATGGATGGATAGATAGATAGATATGAATAGACTCTGCTAGATAGATAGATAGATAGATAGATAGATAGATAGATAGATAGATAGATAGATATGAATAGACTCTGATAGATAGATCTGAATAGACTCCGATAGATAGTTTGATAGATAGATAGATCTAAATAGACTCTGATAGATAGATAGATAGATAGATAGATAGATAGATATGGATTGACTCTGCTAGATAGATATTAAAGAGAAAAATGAAAAGTGCAGTTTATGAAGAAGGTACTGTTAATGATCGAACATGTCAAAAATGGTTTGTGATGTTTCGTGTTGGAGACTTTTCGCTGAACGAAAATAGAAGTATAAGTAATAGCAACATAGAAAGAGGTTTATTAGTAGAAAAAGAAAAGTTAACTGCACAAAACTACCCTTTTGATAATTTATAGCTAAGAAAAAAAATGGACCCTGACTGTCACTTTTAAAAAGAAATTAGAACAAGCATTATTTTTTGACCGACGCCGAGAAACTGGAAGAACTAATTTATATTTCAAAATTTTGCATTTTGCCACTGAAAATAGCGAATATAATACTGTATTAATGAACAACTATGTCTCTCTTAAGAAGCTTTTTTTTTAATCCACATATGTATGATGACTGTTGTCTCGTTAAGCGAGTATGACTATCGATGACAAGTTTGGTCCATGGATTAGTCCTCGTGAGAACGACAATGGCTCTTGAAGCCGCAAGTGACTTGCAATCATTATGGCAGACATAGCTAACTAAATTGTTCTTTACGGCGCTAGGCCTGCTTCGCAAATTCTGTTTACGTTGCTCGTGGCTTTTTATGCGATGGGTGAGACCTGAGCGGTTTTTGCAGATTTTCTGATACCCCCTCCTACATGTTAAGCAATCCCCAGTGTAGTACTGATCGTAATTTATCAAATATCTACCAATATGCCTTTCTTGTGACTAACAAGACCTGCATTGGAAAGGCATTTTTCTGCCATATTTATCACGTGTAAATTGGTGGGTTGCTGGAGCTATTTCCTAGCAGAATTCTTGACATTTTCCCATACATACATATTTGCGTATTTGGCATGTATTCCCCTCTAATACATGTTTCATTAAGTATGACTGACAAATGGCTTCCGTTAATTTTTTTTAATGGATTTTCTTTGCTGGCAACAAGAGATTTCTCTTTTTAGGCAGTGTATGGAGAAATTATCCAAATGATTGATTGTTCCGAGCGATTTCCGTTAAACTATTTTCATTTGAGACAATTTGGGCTCTGCTATTATAAATGGTAAGTTGCTTACAAGAAGAGCTGTTTTGAATTCTGAATTCTTATAGCTAATACATTATGACTGTGTTTGTAGTTGAGTTCTTTCGATCGACAATGCAGTCATTATGGAGAATTGAATGCTTATTCTGTTTCAGAAACTGTTTTTGACCACTTGGAAAGTAAGTTGACCAATTTTAATTCTGACATAAAACAACTTAGTCGATAGATGGAAAAACTTTAAGAAAATTGGACTGACTTTGTCGATATTGTTTAATAAAACTTGCTTAATGAATTATTTTTACCTAATTACACCTTATATATATATATATATATATATATATATATATATATATATATATATATATGTATGTATGTCTGTCTCACTCTGTTCATTATCTATCTGTCTACGTATCTCCCTCTGTTCCTTATCTCTCTATCTCTGTCACTGTGATTATTATCTCTCTCCTAATATTTTCTTCTGTTTCACCATGGATATGCGCATCTCTCTCTCTCTCCCCCCTCCCTCCCTCTCTATGCACACACACACACATATATATGAGAAAATTTATAAAATTTCTACTTTGACGTATTTCGCTGCTGAAACACTATTTCTACTATATTTACCATTCCGTGAGATTGTCAGCCAACTTTACTAATAGATAGATAGATAGATAGATAGATAGATAGATAGATAGATAGATAGATATGAATAGACACGGATAGATAGATAGATAGATAGATAGATAGATAGATAGATAGATAGATAGATATGAATAGACACGGATAGATAGATAGACAGACAGACAGATAGATAGATAGATAGATAGATAGATAGATATGAATAGACACGGATAGATAGATAGACAGACAGACAGAGAGATAGATAGATAGATAGATAGATAGATAGATATGAATAGACTCAGATAGATAGATATGAATAGACTCAGATAGATAGATAGATAGATAGATAGATAGATAGATAGATATGAATAGACTCTGATAGATAAATATGAATAGACTCAGATAGATAGATAGATAGATATTAATAGACTCTGATAGATAGATAGATAGATAGATAGATAGATAGATAGATAGATATTAATAGACTCTGATAGATAGATAGAAAGATATGAATAGACTCAGAAAGATAGATAGATAGATAGATATTAATAGACTCTGATAGATAGAAAGATATGAATAGACTCAGATAGATAGATAGATAGAAAGATATATATATATATATATATATATATATATATAGATAGATAGATAGATAGATAGATAGATAGATATGAATAGACTCTGATAGATAGATATGAATAGACAGATGAAATTTCTTACAAGAAGAGTTTTTTTTTAAATTCTGAATTCTTACAGCTAATACATTATGACCGTGTTCATAGCTGATTTTATTAAAGGTTGTATTTTTTTTTCTTGCTTAGTGTTTCTGCCATTAGTGTCTTGATAACGGTTACTAGATTACCCGAAAGATCTCGGTACGGACAATCATTTGGACATTCTCTCTCTACACCGTATGTCTAAAAAATGTCTTCTTCGCATGAAGAGTATACACTAATAAATTAACAGAAGTATATTCCCTGTCATTTTCAATGAAGGGTACGTACATACATCTGGGGTATTTACTCATGTCGGTTTTGTTTCCCATAGAGCCTCAGGTGAGACGAATACGCACAATAAAAACTGAACTTGTCAAAGTAATAATGGTGTGAAGGATTACCTTGCGTAACCCATCTTCATAACAGAACGCTCTTATAACTAAAGACGTATGTACGTCGACATCTCTGAGACACATAACGAGGAAAGTGGGTTTGAAGAATTTAAAATGTTGGACATAGGTAAACAGCAAGCAACTTATCTAAAGAGTTTATCTCAATGGATAACAGAAAAAATGCTGGGAGGGATAGAGATGGAACAAACATTGCTTAGAACTATGAAGGATAAGAAACTATGGAGAGCCATGATCGCCTGCACCCTGAAGGGACACAGTACATAAAAGTACCGCGGTAATCAGATAATCAGAAAAATTCTTTTTTTTACTAACATTTACCCTATACAAGGCCCAAGAGCCAATCGAGGAAGAGCGTTACTGAAGGAATTTGTTGTGTTAGCGGTAAGAGTAAAGGGCAGGAGACACAGTTTCTTAGTATATACGACAAAGATAACGGTTAATCTTTGTTATTTTATGAACAGGTTGAAACTCTAGTGGTCGGGGAAGCATCCTCTTGGGAGTTGGTTCCTCGTTTTAGCGATTCCTGGGATGATGCTTTTCGAGTGTGTTATATTCCGCGGTAAGGGAATAAACACATAATGCCAGGTGGATACTAGAAGAAAGGTTTATTGTACACAACAAGTACAATATGAAATACAGTTATACACACAGGATCTGTCTACCTCCTCGGACGAAACTTTGCCATTCGGCAAAGCCTCGTCCGGGTTCCTCTCTGCTCAAGGCAAAGATTTCAACAGTGAAGAACAGGAGAGCTCTCTCTCTCTCTCTCTCTCTCTCTCTCTCTCTCTCTCTCTCTCTCTCTCTCTCTCTCTCTCTCTCTCCAAGTCTCTCGTAGACAGTTGACTTTATAGGTACTTACTACCTATAGTGTAATCATTCATGGGGGTGACTGGTTATTCCATTACATCAGGGTGGAATTTCTTTCTTTTTAATTGAATATAAAAGGGATGAGGGTAGTTCACCACAGTTTACGTGGCATGGCAGGTCTTAATTATGAAGCTTAGACATGGTGGGAACCAGGAAAGTAGATCGTCAGAACATTTTCCATGAAAACAGTAATAAAATAGCGATAGGCTTACAACGTAGTTTTGTGTACGTGTACAGAAATGCGGAGATATACACGACACAGTCTCTATATGATGGCGGCGTCGAGGTTGGCCCTTTTTTGGACATTTCACATGTCGGAGTGTTGTACAACATAAACAGATTTAGTCGTAAATAGATATTGTAACTCACATACACTTTTCGTAAGAAGAGAGTCTGGGAAAAAGCCTTTGACCCATTTTTCAAATTGTGGATAGTCCCAACTAGGCAACATGATACCTGAATAGATCATATTACGTACCTACCTATGAATATGTGTAAATGTCGCATGTGTATACTTATGAGAGTTGGTGAGGGGGGAAGTGAAAGAGAGAGAGAGAGACTGACTGCAAAAGAGTGTGAAGGCGGCTGACACACAGCAAAACAGATAAATAAATCGGTAACAAGTGAAAATATGATAGACAGACAGGAAAACAGAGAAAGAAAAATGAAAACGCACAAAGAGAGAAAGACATCTTCTCTTTGTGTTTGATATAACGATTCGTGCTATGGGACAATAGTCATTAAAGCTAGACTGACAGACAGGGTTTAGATCCTCACTGAGTGCCTCACGCTTGTATCTAACTAAACTATCTATATAAATACAGTTTATAATAAACAGTATTAACAACATTTACCGGCATGAAAATCCGATAAATTTTCATAGAAAATATGTCTCCGACAGGAATCGAACCTGTATCCCACACGGAACCGTCATATAAGCTGACGTGCTATACCAGTTTTAGGTACAGATGAGCGTCTTGCTTAGCAAGGTCGATTTTACTGCTTTTAAACTACAATTTTCTATGATTTCCCTCTAACATTCATTTCTGCTAATACTGCTTATTATAAACAGAGCATTACTTAAATATTTGTATCTATAAAAATAATGTATAAACAAAATATCTTAAAATAATTGTTGGACTTTGTCCATTTCGTAGTGTGTGACTATCTGATTTTGTTATCTATCTATCTATCTATCTATCTATCTAAGAAAATGCACGCGTAACTACATATATGTTAATATTTATCTAACTGCATGGTGATCTAAAGAGATGTGGATGTGTTGCTCTACGTGAGGATGTTGGTGCTAAAAGACATCAAAGATGAAAATACCACATCAAATAAACTTTTAAATGCCACCTTGTCATTCGAGAAACAGCACGTGTGTCAAACGTGAAAAAAATAAATTGATATTTACCCACATTTGCCATTTTATTTTCTTGTCAATCCGGTGTTGAATGAACATTCTGGCAATATCAGGAATACATTTATTTTTCATCAGATTAAAAATCTGAAAACTATATGTATATGTATATACATTTAGGGCAAGAAGTGTGACAAAGTGGAAAAGTTTTCGTGTGACGCGTTACGTCCGTTAGAACTTCATCGAACTAAGTTTGTTTTATGTTGATGCGACTACGCATGCGCACGAACGAAAGTAAGACGCTGAGAATTTTAAAATTAAAATGTTTTCTTTTTAAAATGTGTGTTTTGGGTATAAAATCTCGCCGATTTCATTTAGATTATTTTTCTTTTTGCTTATGTTGCCATCCCTTTTGTTATTAAATATCCCACATTGTAATAACAGAAGATCTGTCAAGAAGAGTGAAACGTTGTAAGAAACTGGACGCAAATTTACTGGGGATGATCTAACGATATACCTATACATATATTAAAAAAAGACATATTAAATATTGCTCTATAGAAGATAGATTTTAAAAAACAGCGTCAAAACAATATAGTCTAAAAATTTTATAAAGTGGACTATTGTAAATTAGTAATGATTTTCAACTGTTTTTTCTTTAATCTTAATTTCGATTTGTACATATGAAGAAGTTTGAAAAATGGATCGGCTGAAATATTGATTAAAAGTAGAAATAAATTAATAGGTGACAATCATAATATTCACTTGTTTCATTCAGACCATAGCTTTATGGCCACAATCTCAAAATTAGTGACATTGAAAACTGAACAAGCATTTTTGATTTTATGTAACACAAAGCATAGGTATTTTTATGATATAAAGTGAATGCTATTTTGATATGAGTAATGATATTACTTGAATACATATCGTTCAGCATTAATAGAATGCTTCTCAACTAAATGGTCAAAGCACTGGGCTTATGAACAAGTGGTTTCTCTCATCAAAAATTGCTCTTTAGAGGATAGATTTAAAAAAAATAGCTCCAAAACAATAACATTCAAATTTCATCAACGCAGCATTGTTAAATATTAGTCATTTTTTACCAGTATTTCATCCTAATTTCAATTGCAACTACATCTCTCTAACTATTAGTAAACTGCACAAATTATAATTAAAGAATAAACACAGTAACATTCAAACTTGTATTACTTTTTCCACAATGACAGGTTGCCCTAATTTCTTAAAACATCTTGATTACACAAAGTTTTAGGCAGTAAAATCCAATACATTTTTATTATAGATTCTTTTCCTTTTTTTCCCCATCACCTTTATTATTGAATATCCGACATTTTGATAATTGAAGATCTGCCAAGAAAGGTGAAATTTGTCACAAGTACGTCTAAAATGATAAAATAATTAATACAAAACAAAATAATAAGTTAAAACTTGAAGGAGAAATTTACTCCATCACCTGTAATAATTGCTACTAATAATACACAGGAGAAACTTCAAGGAATCTAAATAAAAGATTATACGAACATGTTATAATCTAGGGAAGGCTACTGAATAGAATGATCAAACAAGGGTTGGTAATGAACGATAATACTTAGGACAAGAACAACACATATAAGATTTGCCAGCGGCGCGTAGAAGAAGTAGTCAACTGGTAGAAATGAGTCAAGTTAACTCCACAATGAATCTTCAACTGCAGGATATCTACCAACCGCTCCACGCGGTCAGATGAGACACAAGGCTGAATTTAATGTGGGTTATCCGAGCCCGTAGGCTCGGCCAAAAATTCCCCGTAGACCCGTACAAAACGGGATCGGGTAGCTTTCTCCAGAGACAAGATTCTGCCCTTTGACACAGCCTCATCAGGGGATGCTCTCTGCCAAGGAGGCAGAGTGTTTGACCAGCACAGCTGGAGACGAATCTCCAACTGCAGGATATCTACCAACCGCTCCACGTGGTCAGATGCGGCACAAGGCTGAATTTAATGTGGGTTATCCGAGCCCGTAGGCTCGGACAAAAATTCCCCGAAGACCCCGTATAAAATGGGGTTGGGTAGCTTTTTTTCCGAGACGAGACTCTGCTCACCGACATAGTATTGTTTAGGGATCCTCACTGCCCGAAGGGAGAGAGTTTGAACAGCACAGCTGAAGACGAATCTCCAACTGCAGACTGACATACAGTATTTACTACTGCATTTATGTGAATGGAGACATACCCATTATCATTCGTAGGTATGCTACAGCAGAACATAGAAGGGATCTTTTAAAGAACAACATGTTAAATGCATTAGTCGTCTACCGTAAAAAAAAAAACACACACACACACACACACACGGAAAAAATGATATTCTAATTAAAAGAGAAAAGAACATAGTAAGTGCTTTAATCGCTAGTTCGGCCCACAGTAAATTTGCATTCCAAGTTCTGATAATGGTTCACCATTCTTGGCAGATCTTTTATTATCACAATGTGGGGATATTTAATAACAAAAGTGATGGGAACATAAACAAAGTGAAAAAAAAAGAATCTAAATGTAACCGGCTATAATATATACTCAAAACATATATTAAAAGAAAAAGAATATCTGGATCTTGATAGAAAATTGTATAAATCGTGGAGCATGAAGGTAACAGTCATGCCCATAATTGTCATAACACTTGCAATGGTCGTAAAGAGTCTTAGAATAATACTGGAAAAGTCGAAATTATTAAAATAACAGTGTGGGAATCAACAGAAATACAAATGTGTGTGCTGGAGCAACCGTACCAGATATTACTGGAATGACAATTCCTGTAATGAAATGGTACGTCAAACTCTATAAGAAGCAATAAATAAATAAATAAATAATAATAATAATAATAATAATAATCTGTTATGCCATTCCAAACATATAAAGAAATTAAAACCGACAGGTCTGAGAACTTGTCTGTTCATCGACATGTCTATCTATCCAAATATAACAGCCATACTTCATTTTAGACTTCATCTGGCTCTTATACAATTAGAAGTTAGCATGACAATTCAAGTATTTACTGGAGCGTTACATGGAGCCGATCATTTTGCCTGCATCTTTAGCAATGAATTGGATATAAGAGTTCCGCTTGAGGTCAGGTGTGAGTTTGAGGCCTAATATTCTCTCAAGGCAGCGGGCCTTCCCCGAGAGGACATGCGTTCATCGTGACTGGTGCTAGTTCGGGGTCGGATCGGCGATGATGGAATATAACTTGTTTGGTTTTCGAGGCATTGTATATAACCAGCTCGTTTTTCCGTGGGTGGCTTGTTACAATATGAGTGGCAGGATGTGTCCTGGCCGTGAAGGCTAGAACTATCGGAACCAAGGAGTGCAATACGTCTGAGCTTTTTCCTTGGGAGTAGAAACATCCACCCTGTAAAAGAGAGGTTGGAAGGTCGGAAAATAATTTCTCACCTATAAGAACTCTGTGAAGCTTTTGGATCCATCGAGACTGGAAAGTAAAGACTGGGCAGCTCTCGCCCAAATATGAGAACAGTATTCCATTTTAGGCCTTATCTAGCTTATTTAAAGGTAGAGGCTAGCACAAGGAGTCAAGTACTTACTGTAACGGTACACAGAACCAACTATTTTTCCTTCATCTTTAGAGATGGATCGTATGTACAAGTCCACTTGCGGTCAGGGGTGAGTAATAGTCTTTCAAGGCACGTAGCCTCTCACAGGAGGCATGCATTCATCGTGACTGGTGGTAGTTTGGGGTACGATCGGCGATGATGGAATATAACCAGTTTGGTTTTCGAGGCATTGTATATAACCAGTTCGTTTTTCCGTGGGTCGCTTGTTACAATATGTGTGGCAGGGCGTCTCCTGGCCGTGAAGGCTAGAACTCTCGGAACCAAGGAATGCAATACGTCTGAGCTCTTTCCTTGGAAGTAGAGCAGGGATTGACTTGCCATATCCACCCTGTGAAAGAGGTTGGAAGGTCGGAAATAATTTCTCACCTACAAGAACTCTGTGAAGCTTTTGGATTCTATCGAGACTAGAAAGTGAGGACTGGTCAGCTCCCGCCCAAATATGAGAACAGTATTCCATTTTAGGCCTTATCTGGCTCTTTTAAAGGTAAAGGATAGGTACGAGGAGTCGAGTACTTACACGGAACCGACTATTTTTCCTGCGTCTTTAGCGATGTATCGTATGTACGAGTTTCACTTTAGCTAAGGCGAGAGTTTAAGGCCTAATAATCTCTCAAGGCAAGAATCTTCCCCGGGAGGGTACCCATTCTTCATTGGCGTTGATGGAAGGTAACTAGTTTGGTTTTTGAGGCACTGAATGTAACCAATCAGTTTTCCCCTATTGGAAAGTTAGTGCAAGATCTGTGTTGGGTGTGTTTAAATTTTAGGGTGTATCAAAAACAGTTTAATATGCTCTTTATTTTACAGGCTTATATAATGCTCTAGATGTATTAGCTTTCAATATTCCCAGATCGTGTCTTTGAGTGCTGGTACGGTTCTTCTCTATCATTCATATCGAAAAACCTTCATGTCAGGTCACCCTACGAAAGAGTACTACTGGTAGCTCAGTACTCTTTACCGCATAGTTGAGTCATCAGCCACTAAACCAAACTTTTCTAGTTAGGAGTCTGGCGAAACTAGACATGTCAAAGGGCGGATGATCCTTCATATAGGATCAGTAGCTATCTAGTACATTGCGATAGATTGGTCCCCATAGCTACGTATGCAGTCAGTGCTGTGGTAATGCAGCATCGTTTGAGGGTTGTTTGTTTTAGGCTGACGTAGGTCAACGGCCGAGATGTAATAGATCCCCATGTTTTCACGGTAAAAGCGAGTTTTCAAGCTGCAGGGCATCGGTTGTGACTTAAACCTGTTCCATCAGTTCTACTTGCCCGAGTACACGCATGAATGGACACCTATCCGGCTTTTAACCCAGATAGGAGAAAGGGGCTGGTCAGGTGCACAGCTTCTCAGTGAACCTATGACCTCATCATGGGACAGATGATGATGATGAGGAGGACAATTAATCGATAACTGATGTTCCTCTCTTCTGGGCTTTATTTCAAAGGATAGGTCACCAACGTTTAAAAACCAGCTTTGGGTAGTACG